CTCGTCCGGCTTGGATGTCACATGGCGGTCTTGGGCTGGAAGAAAGCAACACATTCACACTGAGAAGAAGAATGAATGTAATACAGCTACCACACTTGATGCAGTGATGCACTGTTATGCCCACTCATTTCTGATCACCCAGCACAGATACTGTATTCACTGCTTTATCAGTGCGTCATGTAACTGGGTGGCTGTAGACATCATGAGCACAACATTACAATCTGTGTTCGTGGATCCACTGACACTCACTGCTTTGGTCCGGTTTCACACCTGCACTGCTTGCCAGCTTCTCCTCGTCTGTGGCATAGCCTCCACGGTGGACGCCCTAAAGCAGCAGCAAACACAGTCAACCACACTGACTGCATGCAGTTATTGCTACCACATGAGTTAGATATTGCCAAAACGCTGAACAGATGAAACATTATAAGCTCTTACCTGTCCATTTAAATCCTTTTGCATCACCTGGTTCTGCTTCATTTTACAGGAGTTCCTGAATAAGAAGGCCAATAACAACATAAGTGTTAACACAAACCAGACCATATCCACATACGTGTGTACTTGTGGGCAGATGTAATGACGAGAGCAAAGTGCAGTAGAGAAAGAAAGTCATAGCGTGTGTGTGCTGAGCTTACATATGCTGCTAAAAGTGCTGAATTATACAGAAGAAAAAGCTGATTAATGATGAGGGGGTGTGCCAAACTGAAATAGGAGCAATAGGAGTTCCATGGAGCATTGCAGGGAATGCCAAGGTTTCCAGTGACACTAGTTTTTTCACATTTTCACTTTTTAAATCTATTCCACATACAGTTTATTTTTCACTTTCAGTTTGTGACCAAAAGGAAAGTTACATAAAGTGGACGACAGGGCAGCCTGGACTTGGACTTGTATTCAGAACAGGAAGGACTGAAGTTACAAACACGCACGTCTGTAAACACAGTTACACAGTACTTACAACAGAACACAGAGGAAATGGACTTGCTCAGCAGTCCTGAATCCACACAGAGGGAAGGGAAACACAATGACAGGGTTGGAAAGAAAAGAAAGGAAAGACACAGGAGAGGGTGGGACAGTGGTTAGGTTAAACAGAAGGGGAGTGCAAGGTTATTATAGTTTAGCTAACAGAAAACTAAAACTAAAATTAGACAGGTGAAAGCATTGGTTTTTCAGTTAAAAGTGAAAAAAAACTTTGTTGAAAACAAAACAGCAAAACTAAAGTGAAACGTCCATCCATCCATCCATCCATTTTCTACCGCTTATCCGGGACCGGGTCGCGGGGGCAGCAGTCTAAGCAAAGATGCCCAGACCTCCCTCTCTCCAGACACTTCCTCCAGCTCCTCCGGGGGAATGCCAAGGCTTTCCCAGGCCAACCGAGAGACATAGTCCCTCCAGCGTGTCCTAGGTCTTCCCCGGGGCCTCCTCCCGGTGGGACCTGCCCGGAGCACCTCCCCAGGAAGGCGCCCAGGAGGCATCCGAAACAGATGCCCGAGCCACCTCAGCTGGCTCCTCTCGATGTGGAGGAGCAGCGGTTCTACTCTGAGCTCCTCCCGGGTGACCGAGCTCCTCACCCTATCTCTAAGGGTGCGCCCAGCCACCCTGCGGAGAAAGCTCATTTTGGCCACCTGTATCCGGGATCTTGCCCTTTCGGTCATGACCCAAAGTTCATGACCATAGGTGAGAGTCGGAACGTAGATTGACCAGTAAATCGAGAGCTTCGCCTCCACTTCCTTCACTTGAAGCAGGAACTCTCCACCAACCTGAAGGGAACAATCCACCCTTTTCCGACTGAGAACCATGGCCTCGGATTTGGAGGTGCTGATTCTCATCCCAGCCGCTTCACACTCGGCT